GCTTAACACCTGGGGATTATACTACTTAGAATCCTGGAATAATATTTAATAATCCAATTGTGTTTTCCTGGGATTTCTGTCTGTTGGTATAAAACTTCACAAAGAGTTAGAAGAGGATTTTTTTCCTTCATTAAAAAGAACAACCCTCTGGCCTGCAGCCACCCTTGTCCATACAGTTGGGGTACCCCTGCCTCACATCACAATGAGTCTTGCCACCAACTCTGTGTGAAGACCACAAGCAGGTTCCAGAGTCTCCCTGGAAGACTGTGGCTCAAGGGGGACAACCTTCCACTTCCAGGACAGGGAGAAGGCAGCCAGCTGGAGAGCAGGCCTGGGGTGGGCAGGACTTCCCACTCTACCTCCTCCCCCTGCAGCCCTCTAGGGACCCAGGCTCCTGGATCCCACTGCTCTCGGCTGTCTTCTCCAGCACTGGGGTGACTATTGTGGAATCCTCCCCATGTCCTAGGTTTTGGAGGAGGAGTCACTCTGTCAAACGGCTTCACTCAGGTGCTTCCTGTCATGCTGACCTTCTGTTTCCAGCTCCACACAGCTGGCTTACAGCCTCAGACCTGAAGCAGAGCCTGAAGGTGCTCCTGGCAACTCTGCCTCAGCGTGACTGCACCCCATCACACTGTACCACAGAGCCACTGACCCTCTGCCAGGTACAGGGGGAATGTTCCTTCCTCAGAGTAGGGGCCAGGGCCCGAGGCAAGGTTCAGGATAAGCCCAGGCCTCCAGGCCAAGGCATTGTGGGTCTGGTGCTTGGTGACAGGACATAACTGTGTGACTCCCCACTCTGTTGCCTGCAGAGGCTCTGCAACCTCAGGCCAAGCTCACCTGGATCTCCTCCGGGTAGGTGAAAAGGAGAGTCGAACCCTTCCGGAACATTCTCTTTGCTAACACTGTGCACAGCCAGGATCTTGTGGTGGCCAGGACACCCTGGAGGAAAACTGTCAGGAAGCCCTTCTGGGCTGTGGCTCCCGGGTCCTCTGCCACGTCCTGTGGGCACATGAGAGAAGTTTTACCAGCTCTGCCCTGCTGCTCCCCACACCTGAGCCACCTCCTAGCTCCATGCTTGTTGGAAGCCCACCTGACACAAGCACTGTTGTTTCCCCAGTACCCTGGGCTCCCATGAAAGGGGCAACATGGGAGAGGAGGGGAGAAGGTACAGGTGCTACAGGTCCCCAAGCTGACTCTGCCTCATCAAGAGCTTCCAGCAACAGAGGCACACACAAGAGCCTTGTGCTTTCTCCAGATTGAGTGAGAAGAATGGACCCATGAGCAGAGAGCTTCCAGAGAACCCTGAACCAGTAGGTCATGCAAACTCCCAGCCCACTCCAGGGATGTGAAGCAGCACTCTGCTGGCCTGGAGGCCAGCCCAGTTCTCTCCCCATGGGCACTCTGCAGGGACAGCTATGGTCTGTCTCCTCCCCACCTCTACCACCACACCCACAGAACTACCCCCTTTCAGGTGACCCCACACTCCGGAGTCCTCTCTCTCTTTGCACTCCAGAGGTACCTGCCATGGAGCACATGCAACTCCAGAGGCCCTGCAGGCTGCACAGTGTGTGCTCTTACAGAGCTCCATAAAACCTGGGTCTGTTGACTCCTGCCCCCCTCGAGGCTCACAGAACCACCCTGGGGCCTCCATCTTGGCAAAGTGACAAGGTGGATGGCAGACGCCATTCCTGCTATAAGGAACCAACTAGAGTGGAAGAGATGACCCCTTCAGACGGCGGGAAGAGCATGGTCCTCAGCCATAGTAAGTGCCAAGGTGGAGAAACTCAAAGAGCCCGGGAGGCAGACCAACAACAGGAGAAGGGACTCGGGCTCCAGGCAGGTGACCAGAGCACAGGGCACAGGTGAGAGCAGGGCAGGACAGCACTGAGGGTTCTCAAAGGAAAATGAAACAGGGTACCCTTGTATGATGTCCCTTAATACCTTCCAGGACAATCTGGACACCCCAGCAGGGCATTTCCCTAGTGCTAGGCCTCAGGCATTCCAAATCAAAAGCGGCCCCAGCTACACACTGACCCCTCCTTGTGGAGGTTCTGTGTTTGAGATTGGGGTCCCTGATGACTTCATGGCTGTGACATGCTTGGTGCCTGGGAAAGTTTCTGTGCCGAGGCCTAGGATGCCTGGTTGCTGTGGTAATGCCTGCCACGCTAGAGTCTTATCAGCTTCGACCTTAATCTTAGGCACATAACTCCTGGGAATAAAGGAATTAGTTTGCTTGATGACTACAATGTTTCACCAAGCTCTGGTGCTCCTGGATCTGCCCGCTTTACGGTAACATCAGACAATGGACTTTCTTGAGAGCTGCACATAGCTCCTGACATTGCATATTGCAACTGTAAAATGTAACTGCAGAATAAGCAACCTTACTGATATGCTAAACAATAATGTAGTTATGGTACTAATGACTTAATGTGACTTATTGGTATGAATAAATGTGTCTGCTGGGAAAAAGTCCACTTTGCCACCTTCCCTGCCTCTGCACCTTGTCTCTGTGCCTCCTCTTTATTATTATTTCTTTATACATCCTGGTGTCATCCAGGATTGAGCAGAGGTAGTCAATAAATGAATTGCAGGAACAACCCTGAGGCTGAACAAACAGCAGGGCCCTGAACTGTGCTTTGACCCTCATGGCAGCCACCCAGCTGCTGACCACCTGACAAGAGGCTACCACATGCCCCAGCATGTTTTTGCTTTGGTGAATTTTAGCACAGCAAAATTTTGTTTTTGCAGAACAGGTAGAGTATTTGTGACCACAGATCTGGGACCCCAAACAACAATGAAGACACTTCCTTCTGCAAAAAAGTAAACCCTAAATAACTGAAAAACTTCTCAAGCACCATCTATTGGGAGCTGGCACCAATCTGGGATAGATGAAATAGTACCACTTGGGGGCTGGGGATGTGGCTCAAGTGGTAGCACGCTCGCCTGGCATGCGTGCGGCCCGGGTTCGATCCTCAGCACCACATACAAACAAAGATGTT